AGAGTAGCATCTCCTCAGATGAAATTTAGTGTTTTGATACACTGAACAACTATTTCTGAATGACTGAAATACTAAATGGCCATATAACTGTAATGTCTTTGTGTTCTAGCTTTTATTTAATTCCTCCTGCTACTCTTATTTTGTTTAAATATCTTAGTGACTTCAAATCTATAACTTAATGTGGAAGCATATAATTATTAGAGCAAAAAAAAAAAAGCCTTTTCCTAGCCAAGTGCAGAGATACACATCCATAATCATGAACACTAGATGCAGAGGCAAGAGATTCCAAGTTCAAGACCAACCTCAGTCATATATAAAAGTTCCATCATAAAAAATAAAAATTAAAAAAAGCCCTTTACCAAAAAAAAAGCTCATTTTTTCCTAACATGTATTCCTCTTATGGAAAATTTAGGCAATGAATTACCATCTTTCTTTAATTAATTACCTTGGTACCAAACATTATCAGTGTTACTTACTAAAATACTGAATCCACAGTGGACCATAATCTCCATGACTCTACATTGTTGTATGCATTCATTATTTCCCTGGCAATATTGTTATAGAGGTTTTAAAGTAATAGAACTACTTACTGCCTTGATAAACAGCTTCTTTCCAAATAGGAAAAAGGAGGTGAAACATGACACATACAAAATATATTGCCTGCTATGTAATTGCATAGCAGACTCCAAGACTACTAAAGCTGCTAAGAAGGTTCTACATCTGCCCTACATCTGCCCTTAGTTTTGTGGCAGCAGGTATTTGTTTACCTGTCTTACATTAGTCATTATCAAATTATCACTAGTCTTGCTATAAATAGTGAAACAATTAGAGAACATAAGAAAAAGAAACATTAGATACTAGACTTGGGTCACCAAGACTATATAATTTTCCTTTCCTACAAATCTACATAAGATAAGGACAAGTAATATATTTATTCTAAGAGGTACATAATCTTCAACATAAAATGTTTCAGTGTAGTAGAGGACTCAGTGGCTAAAGTTGCTTCTGCCAAGTCTGGCAACTGAGTTTGTTCCCCAAAACTCACGTGGTAGAAGTAGAAAACTGACTTTTGAAAGTTGTCCTCTGACCTCGTGACCACACACGCTCCATTAAACCACAAGCACATACACATGAACACACACACACACACGATAAATTTAAAGACATACAATCTAATTTCATGTATATACATTCTTATTTTCCTAAAGAATAAACAGTATAACTGAAGTAACAATATTACTTTAACAAAGCTGATTTTTAAATCCTAAATGATTCAAGATAGTCAAACAAAATAGAAATGCCACTTAAACATTTCCCTTTTAAAGTTCCAAGAAAATTAATTCATATGATAAGCTGCCCAGACTGTACTGTATTTGTTAAATTCATAAATGAAATGGAGATCAGAAATATCCAGGTAATGAATAATTTCAGAGAATACTGTCTTTAAACAGGCAACAACAATGCTATAAAGAAGTCAATTAAAAACTAAAAATTTTAGAAGTGACAATATGGTATTTTTCAGACACACTATAAAAACGTTTATAGGGGTAGACCATATTCCACATTTCCCTCTACCTTTGTAAAACAGATTTAGATAAAACACTTAAAATTACTATTGTGAAAAATGCTAAGACTTTTTTTTTTTCCTACTCCAGCCTTAAATTGAGACCCTTCTTTTTCCTCAGCCTGATGCATGCAGAGGTTATGGACATATGCTATCATGTCCAGCACCAAGGCATTTTCATAAAACATCCCTTCTACCTTTAAGAAAGTCATAAACTGCCCAGTGGTTGTGGAGGTAGTGCACATCTTTAGTCCCTGCACTCCTGATGTAAAGGCAGGCAGGACTCTGGAGTTCGAGGCCAGTCTGATCTACAGAGTGAGTTCCAGGATAGCCAAGGCTACACAGAGAAACTGTCTCAAACTGTTCCCCCCACAAAAGAAAGACAGTAAGAAAAAAAAGGAAGGAAGGAAGGAGGGAGGAAGGGAGAGAGGGAGGGAGGGAGGGAAGGAGGGAGGGAGGGAAAGAGAGAGAGAGAGAGAGAAAGAAAGAAAGGAAGGAAGGAAGGAAGGAAGGAAGGAAGGAATAAAGAAAGAAAGAAAGAAAGAAAGAAAGAAAGAAAGAAAGAAAGAAAGAAAGAAAGAAACTAGCTGGATGTGATAACACACCTGTAACCCAGCACTTGGGATAAGAATCGAGCAGGATAGAGTTTAAAGCTAACTTGGGCTACATAGCCTTGCCTAAAGAAAAAGGAAGAAATTATAAATTGCAAGAATCACAGTTTCAAGTTTAGCTTTTTAATTTACTCTAGAATTCAGGAAAGAATCGTCCATAGTAAAACTGTTCTAAAATCCATGAATCTGAACAACACAGCTTCACATCTGGAGGATGGTTTTCCCAATGTTCAAGATCACAAAACAAACGTCAACCCAATACAATTAAGCTGTTTGCCATAAAATCAACTATTCACAGATTGGCGGTTAATGCTATTTCTACTGATTTTTCTCCATGCTTTTAGGTTCTATCATACTAAGTAATACTGTATTTATATCAGTAACTCTTCAAGAAAACTCCCTAGTTGTTTCTGATTTCAAATATCCATTTTATCATCAAATCTTATTGTCCTGTTACCACCTCATCTAAATCTGCAGCTTCTTTTCATTCTCCAGCTACACTCTTAGAGTTGGTCTTAGACTTTTCCTCCCAGACTACTGTACTCCATCCTCATGAGACAGCTCCTCTAAATTGTCTCTAACTCCACTGCCAACCTTACCATCATCTCTCCTTGACATTATGCCTCCTACCTCTTCCACCTGGGCTTTTCAAGGCCTTTCTGCTGCATTTTTATTCTGCTCGAGAGCCTCATCTTCAATCACATATTTATTTATAAGGTGCTGCCACTGACTTTCGACTCCCCTTTAAAATGTCAGTTTCTTCTTGACCCTATTAAATGAACTAAATTTTTCCTTCAGGTAATCACAATTTTCTGCTAATCAATTTGAACACAGAATCCCTTTAGCATTTACGACCCAAATTCATAGGCAATATATTTAGACAGCTTTTTATACACGAATGATGCATCCTTTCAACTGTTTACTTCTCAGGGTTATTTCCATCAGAGCACACTTAGACAAAGGTGGTAGCTTCAAAGCACCCTATGCAGCACCTATGCACCATCACTTGACCAAATTAAGATAATTAAATAAAAAGACAGGGTCACGAGTCAATAAACAAAATACTCTTTAAAAATAAAACCCTACAGTTTAACTTTTGAAC